TGAACAGCAACCAGAATCTTCTGAGGGGAAATTTCCACTTGAAATGACAAGCAGACCAGCCTGGGATGGCCAGAAGAAAAGAAGATACTTCCTGAAAGAAAGACTGACAGGAAAAATACAAAACAATATAGGCAGACCGACTGATTACTAAAAAAACAAACAAGTGGCTCACCCAGGAGACATCAAGGCAAATGGTCAGAGCCCCCTCAGAGCAAACCCCCTTCTAAGACTAAGAATCAAAAGGAATACACACCCTGATTGGTGACCACGTTCATCACCGATAAAAGGAAGTGAGGGAAAAGCAGCAATGAAGGTGCGAGCTGAGCCCTACAATGCTCAATAGACTCCTGTGTATCCGGATGGAGACCTGGTTGACCAGCAGTGTGGCAAGTCCGGGGACTCTTGGACCTAGAGTCAGTGACATAGCCACACAGGACTAGAGTGGAGAGTGAAGCGTCCAGCTGATAAGAACAGAGCACACCCACACTTGCAGATAATACCCACTTGACCTGGCTTCAATGACTGGATGATCAGAGCTCAACCAGAAAAAGAAAGAAGAGGAATAAAGAATAATCTGATGTAATGTGATGAACTTGACATACACCTATGGAAGCAGTAGCTCAAAAGAGGGAACAAATCTTCACAGCGAGGATCATTCCCACACCTTCCGCACATGTAGAGGAGAGGGATGGGCAACTTGGACATTGGCTATCCAGAATGGGGGGGCTACAGAGGCAAGAAGTGACTGGCTTACACGCTTTCAAGAGGGAACGTAGATCTAGAGGGCATGGAGCAAGGTAGAATCTCCACTGAATAGTATCCATTCTGTATAGTTGGGGCTAATGAAAGGAGTTGTGGATAGGTCTCTTGCGACACAATAGTGAAAACTTGTTATCAGGACTGATTGTAAGGGCAAGAAATGTAAAGGTAGACCTTTTATGGCAAAGGGAGGGGAGTGATTAACTTTTCAGTCTAAGAGCGGAGGTCCCTGGGACCACCAAGGGAGAAGAGTGGAGAGCGGGACCCTACCCAGAGAAGCAGTGATGCCAGGGATGGGGGTAGAGATGATGACGTGGGGAGATGGAGCGGCTGGGGTCTTTGGACCCAGAGAGGAAGAGGGGCTGTGTGCAGATGACCGGGGGACAGGCTCAAAGGGGTATACCCTTTGGTTGGTGGATGATGCATGGAGGGGATTGTAACCATGGCAAGGAAATGATATACGATGGGATCAATGTGAAGCTAATGTCCTCCCATGTAAACTATCACAAAATTCACAATAAATCATTGAAAAAAAAAGGAAATCTCCTATAGTTTCATGGTATTTAAGAGACAAACTTTGTCAAATTTGGAAGTAATATGGGGAGGTGGGGGGGAAAGCTGACAAAAGAGCAAAGCTCAACTTCCAAAGTACAGACTGGATCTCCCATTGTTTTAGGGTAGAGGCAGTAAGAAACCTGCCAAACTCTTAATCAGAATCTAGGGAAGGACATACCTAAGGATAGGGAAGAAATGGGCAGAACGTTTTATTAAAGCTATGTCCATGCTGCAACCCAGCTCAATCCAAAACTGCTTTGCAGTGATCAGCCCTACACCTTACCCAATAGAACTAAAAAAAACCCAAAACTAACAAAAAAAGTCTCTAGGATTTTTTTTTTTTTGCTTTTTTTTAAACAATGTCAGACATATAGTAAAGAATTACTAGACATTTCATAGAAAAGGAAAAGGACTGATAATCAAGATCACAAAGTAACAGCAGAAGTACACCCAAAGACGACTTAGATGTAGGAGCTCACAGATGAGAACTTTGAGATCACTATAAAGATTAGTGTAGATGAAGGGTAAAATAGATGAAATGGTGAATAATTTAAATATAGATATATAATCTTCCAGAATCATCAAATAGGCATTCTAAAACTGGAAAATACAATTCTTGGAATTAAGAAAACACTAAATAGCTTTAACAGCAGATTGGACACAGCAGAAGACAGGATAAGCGAAATTAAAATAAGATCAATAGAAAAGATTCAATCTGAAGCAGAAAGAGAGAAATAGATGGAGATAACAGAGCTGAGTGTAACAACATTAAAATGTCGAATTTATTTGTAATTGGAGATTCCAGAAGGAAAGAGAAGAGAAATTGAATAGGGCAGAAGCGACATTTGGAAAGATAAAGGTCAAGGAGCTTTCTTAGCTGATGAAAAACGAAATTACAGGTTTAAAAAAAAAACAATAACTCAATACATTCTAAAACAGTATAAACACACAAAAAACTACAACTACTTTGAACATCAAGTCAAACCACCGAAAACCAAAGTCAGAAAGAAAACTAAGGCAGATCATGTCACTTATCTACTCAAAATCCTTCAGTGGTTTACTACCATATTCAAAGAAAAGGCCAAAGTCCTTAAGTGGTTAAAATATTGTGGTGTCATAAATTTACTTGAGATCACTTTGATAACCAAAACTTCTTAACTTCCACAAATGATTGTGTAGGGCGACACACATAGGGTGTACAGGACACTAATGCCGGGATTAGTTTTTTTCCCCTTCCTGCTAGGTTTAAAAGGAGCCATCTCAGAAACAGGAACACACAATTCCAGGACCATCAAGAAAGAAGAGCAATGAGAATAGCTGAGATCCCTACCTGGAAAAGCTTCAGTCGTAGAGGCTGCAGCATGGAGAAACAGAACATCTGCAGGCTTTGTGGCCCATGGACCAAGTGAAGCTGAGTGTCTATGGGCAGGAGGCTGGCTTGCAGAATGTACATTTTGGGCATTTATAGACTGGCTAAAGATCTTTGTATCACTTGCCCAAACAGGGCAGAAAGTGAGAGGCTGAAGACAAGAATGACGTGTGTCTGAAGTATGACAGAGAAGAGGCATTCCTAATTGCAGAACAGCTGCAATCCTGTTTGTTTATAATCATGACTAGTACCATGTCAAATTCGCTACTAAACCCCATAACTGTGAATATTGTCTATGAGTTCTGTGTGGCCATTGCAACAGATTGTCAAACTCAGATGTGAAGTATTATGTTTTTTTGTGGGAGAGACGATGGTGTCAGAATAGGGTAAAGAAGATTGAAGGATGAAAGCATGTCTGACCTCCACTTCAAAGGAATCAGCCTTGCGCTGATTGTGAGTTTGATTCTCCTTCCCCTTTGTGATACCAGAGAAAGTCAGGCATGACCTCAAAGGTCCTATACATTCTGCACCACCCCTGACTGTAACCTCTCTGACACCATCTCCTATTATACATTTCCTTTCTCTTCTCTTGCTCATTCTGCTCCAATTACACTGGGCTTGTTATTTCTCATCAAGTATATTCCCACCTTAAGATATCTGTAATTTGCTATTCATCCTGCATTCATTCGCTTCTGAGAGAAGTGAAACACCCAATATTTGTTATCTCTTCTTCACTGTTTTATTTTCTCTCCATTGTTGCTGTTGTTGTTAAGTACCATCAAGTCATTTCTGACTCATAAAAACCCTGTGTAGGGTTTCTGAGGCGTGGCTGGTAGGTTTGAACTGCCAAATTTGTGGTTAGCAGCCCAGTGCTTATTCTACAGCACCACACCAGGACTCCATTAATTAGTTTATTATCTGACTCACACTAGAATGTAAAATCTACAAATGCAGATTGTTGGCTTCTGTATTTCCAATTCCTAGAACAGCGCCTGATACATGTAGGTACTCAAATGTTTGTGGAACAATTGCATGTTAAATGAGGTCTGACTGCTGTATTACCTGGCATTTATGGGTTTGTTTTTTAAAGACATACAGTTACTAACCTATTATCATGAGGGTAGGGATTTGGACTTATTTTGTAATGGTGGTAATTAGTCTATATTAATTTGCCCCACTCAAAGGTACTCTAGAAGTCTAAAATAGTCCTTTACCAATGGCCTAATTAATTTTTTTTATCAAGAGACACTATAGAATATCCAGATTAAGGTTACTCATGGTATAAATAGATTTGTGTTATCTTTCAGTAACCCAGAAATTGATTGGAACTTAATCCAACAGCATTTTAGGAGGTTGTGGAACAAGATACACTTGTCTGTGGATATTCATCAGCTACATGCTCAAATTTATGATATAAGTAATTCTCAAAGTGAACACTGAGTGGCTACTAATTTGCTACCCCTGCTAGAGAGTAAGATCCCCTAAGAACTTGATTGAACCTCAGCACAGTGATCCTGCTTGGCACCTTAGAGCAGGTGGTGGGCCGGCAACGTCTGGCGCATGGGGTCCCCAGCCGATCTCCTCCCTCCCTGCCTTCCTCGGATGGCGGCTGTTTATGCTGGACGTGTAGCCAGAGATGGGTAAGGATCACGTGGAACCTCGGCAACTTAAGACAGAGCCATTGCCATGCT